TCAAACGTATGTACATGAACTAGGCTGGACCTTTGCCTTAATATGGCCGCTTAGATGATTAGCCCTGCAAAGGATGTTCCGTTGGCAGTTTGCTGGCAACTTAGAGTGGATGCTACCGGTGAGGTTCCAAACCAGAATGAGGAAGTCTAACACTGAATGGAATCTGTAGACCTGTTAGTGGAGGCCACGGAATGACCCAGGGCAGCCCAGGAAGTGAGAATGATCCTGCAGATTGAGAATGAAGAGAGCCTCTAAATTAATCACAAGTGACTCTGCCCTGGAGAGAAAAGCCAGAAAGAAGAGTGGAGCAGAAACCAGAGACCCAGAGCAGGGACCGGAGGAGGAGGCCAATGGGGGTGGCAGTGGGTGCTGGGAGCCGGGCTTGGGCTCGCTTCCTCATCAGCTATTAGGGAGGCTTCTGTTCTGGTCATCACCACTGTGGTACCTCCTGAGCTAGGAGACTGAGCAGCGGGTCGCCTTGTCCCTGTCTCAGAGCTGGGAAGGGGGCGGAGATGAGCTCACAGCAGAGGGTCTGCCATGATGACATGGCTGTAGGGCTAAGGCGTTTGGGTGTGTCTCCTCACTTTGCTCACCCGGGGGTCATTGGGTAGTGTGGTTCTAGATGTTTCTTGAGTTCTAGGAAGTTTATAAGGCATTATTGTGCTGGAAGTGGTCCTCCTCCTCTGAACCGGATGCTGTTTTCCCCCAGGCGTAAGAGTGGGATGAACCTGGACTTCACTCCCCAGGACCATCTGAGACTGGAATCTAGATGGCATGTGTCCTTGGGCCAGATACTCAACCTCCCTGCGCACCCATTTCCCCACCTGCACAATGGGAATAAATATCGATTTCTCTGGACTGCAGGAAGAACTCCACAAGCTCCTCTGCCTAGAGTGTCCCGTGTGGTACCCAGCACACAGTGGCTTGAGAACTTACTCCCACTTGCCAGAAATCAGTCTGTCCTTCATCCTGCCTCCACCCGATGGCCATCCCACTGACCTCTGGCGTGGGGGTGGGGAGTAGTTTCCTCTCATTTTGCGTTAGGTTCCTTTCTTCCATATGTTCTCCAGAATGAAGTGAATCTCTTCCTCTTCAGAGTATCTCACAATGTAGCGCTTCTCCAAATCCACTTCAAGTTTTAATGATTTTACTTAAGGGCCACTTCCTCTCCCTAGACAGGACACCCCTGTTGGGAACTGTGGTATAAGAAAGAATATATCTGGGTTTTGTCCCTAGTTCCAAGCACAGAGCTTCAAAACCCCTGGAATTTCCCGAGTGGTAGGAGTGTCTTTGTTATGCTAATGAGGTGACAGTCGAGGTGGGGCTCTATGCTTCCGGATGCCAGGTGCCCCTCTTGGTGCTTATTTTTATGAAAACATCTTCATTTCATTCTTGTTCTTGAAAAATAATTTCTTGAAAAACAATTTCAGGTTGACATTTCCGCCCCCCCCCCAGCACTTTGAAGATACTACTCCACTGTTCTCTGGTTTTTACTATTGTTTTAGAGAAATTTACTCTCGGTCTCACTGTATGGCCAGTTTCTACAGGTGGCCTATCTTTTCTCTCAGGCAACTTTTCAGATCTCTTTGTCTTTGGTTTTGTGTGGTTTTACTGTGTACGTAGGTGTGGATTTTGTTAGTCTTTGCTTGCTATAGTTTGTACCTCTTAGCTCTGTGGATTCATGTATTTCATCACTTCTAGAATCGTCTCAATCCTTGTTTTCGAATACTGATTCTCTTCCATTCTCATTAGTCTCTCCTCATGGAACTCCTATTAGCCATATGTTAGAATGTCTCATTTTATTATCCATACCTCTTAATTTCTTTTTTCACTTCTTTGCCCACCTTTTTTAAATCTGCCCTTTGAATAATATCTTCAGATCTATCTTCTAGTTCACTAATTTTCTCTTCACCACTCTGTAAACTACTATATATATGTATATTTATGTTTATATTTCACAATTCACCCAATTAAAGTCTATAATTTAAAAAATTGAAGTCTGTAATTCAATGATTTTTAGTATATTCACAGAGTTGTGCAACCATCAATTTTAGAATCTTTTCATCACCCCTGAAGTAATCCTGTACCCATCAACAGTCATTCCCTATTTCCCCCAATCCTCCCGCACTTGCCCTCAGCAACCGTTAACCTACTTTATGTCTCAACAGATTTGCCTCATCTGGACATTCACCTAAATGGAATCCTACACTGTCATCTTTTGTGACTGGCATCTTTCAGTTAGCGTAATTCTAAACTGCCATATAAGCCATCTGTTGAATTCTTCACCTCAACAAATTTTTTAAATTTCTGTAAGCTCTCTTACTCCCTTTTTCAATTTACCTGACCTTTTGATAGTCTTTTTTCCCCCCGATAGTCTCATTTTTGTGATTCCATCTTTACTTCTTTAAATATTTCACAGACAGTTATGCTATTTTATGATGATGTCTAGCAGAATGATTTAGCATCTCACGTTCTTGAGATTCTAAATCTGCTTCTACTGATTTTTACTCAAAGCTGTCAGTTTCTTTATGTATTTGGTGATATCTGAATGGAAACCACTGTTTAGTTGATCTCAGTTTGTGGAGAATCTGAGGTTTTACATCTTCAAGAGAAGTTGCCTAGGCTTCTGCTGGGAGCTGGGGCGCTAGAAACCACAGGACCCCCTTCCAAGGGTCTAGCTTACAGTTCAAGTCTTGGTTTCATCTCAAGCTGAATGCTGATAATGGTGTTCCCCAGGCCCCCACTGCCTTTTGTGGCTCTCCTTCAGGCAGCAGCCCTTCATATGTGTGATGTATACATGCATGTGATGTCATGTATGCAAGCTTTCCTGGAAAGCATTGTACTGCATGCCCAGCAATGCACGGAAGTTCTGTCCTATCTAGTTTATCTGCAGGGGAAGGGCTCCTCAGAGCACCTAGTTTGCCATCCTATTTCTGCTGCCTGGAAGCCCCTAGCCTGCTTCTGTTTCTGCCCTGCTTCTCTGGCTTTATTGGTCAACCTTGAGTCTCTCAAATAATCCTCTCCATCATTCCATTTCCTGTGTGACTCTCCAAACTCAGAATCTATTAGCTCACAGCTGAGAAGATTGATTGATAGAATAGCTTCCTGGTAATAAAGATGATATCTGTGAGCATCAGCAGTGTACCCTGACCCATTCCAAGGTTTTTTTGTTTCTGTTTTATTTTGTTTTGTTTTAAAGATTTTATTTATTTGAGAGACAGACCATGAGTGGGGGCAGAGGCAGAGGGAGAGGGAGAAGCAGACTCCCTGCTGAGTGAGGAGCCCAACATGGGGCTCGATCCCAGGACCCTGAGATCATGACCCACGCCAAAGGCAGATGCTTAACCCACTGAGCCACCCAGGTGCCCCCATTCTAAGGGTTTTACATGTGTTAACTCCCATAGTCATGACAACCATCCCACTTTGCAGATGAGGAAATGGAGGCAGAGAAAAGCTGAGGGGGGGGGGGCTTGTTTTGGGTCCCAAAGGTTGCAGTTGTTGAGGCTGGAAGGCAAACTCAGGCAGCCTGGCTCATTTCCCTTTTTCATGACTGCAAAAAGAAATAGAAGGGCTCAGGGCCATCCAACATTCAGCAGAAAAAGCCCTGTTTTTCGAGGAAAAGGCTACAGACACCCAGGAGATCACGAAAGCCCTGACCTGGCCTTTCTGGTATGTTGTGTACCGCAGTGAGACTTGGCAGTGAGTCTGGGGTTCTCTGAGCTTTTTTTTCTGGCTGGAAAAAAGAAACCCAGCAACAACAAAACAACCCAAATTCTAACTCAAGAGTCATGAGTTTCCCTGATTGCATCTGTGCGGATAGTCTAGAAAAGCAATACTATTGACAGCAAACCTGTGACTCAAGCAGCTTTGTGGCATTTTCAGCTTGACTGGGGAACCCGGAGAATAGACTCAAGACCCTACCTTTGATTTGATCCAACAGAGGCAGGAAATTGACTGTCAAGTGTGAAATAACAGCCAGCTGTGTTCTAAGCCACCAAGTGACACCCAACGTGGGACTGGGAGGAGGCATTTGCTTCAAGGAGGAGAGGTGGTCCCCTCTAGTCATGAGACCCTGACCCCTCCTCAACCCGTCCCAGCACGTGCTTTCTCCTGGTCGGCTACTTCCTTAAAAATAAAAGTGTGTCCTCATATGAGTGAAATCATATGATATTAGGACACACCTTTATTACTCATATGTAGAATTTAAGAAACAAAACAGAGGAACAGAGAGGAAGGGAAGGAAAAATAAAATAAGATGAAAACAGAGAGGGAGACAAACCATAAGAGACTTAACTATAGGAAACAAACAGAGGGTTGCTGGAGGGGACGGGGGTGGGGGGCTGGGGTAACTGGGTGATGGGCCTTAAGGAGGGCACTTGATGGAATGAGCACTGGGTGTTATATGCAACTGATTAATCCCTGGATTCTACCTCTGAAACTAATAATACACTATATGTTAATTAAATTGAATTTAAATAATAAAAAAGGCGTGTCCTTTATAATAGCAACCACTGTTAAGCACCTACCTTGTGCCAGGTGCTATAAAAAGCTGTTTTTACAGACTTCCACGCTTACTTGCTTTACATGCTTGTCTCTTTTACTCCTCCTCTGTAACATCCGCACTATTATCCACCCACTTCATGCATAAGGAAACTGAGGCTGGGGGAAAGGACTTTCCCGAGGCCCCAGGGCCAGAAGGGGGTGGGGGTCATGGGAACCTAGCTCTTGGGGCAGCAGAGCCTGCTTTTGGGCACTCCCCGTCCTTCCCAGGAGTGTCCCCACAATCTCTTCTTTACCACAAAGCCAGAAGGGCCACCTGGGGGCAGGCTAGGCACCACCCAAGGACCAAAGGCTAGTCCTTTTGCCAGGGTCCTGAGTATTTGTCTTCTCCCCTCTGATGTGGACCTGGCTACCAAGGGGCATTGCACACTGGGTTTCTCAGCCACAGAAGGAATCGGTGGGGCCCTGAGCTGCAGGGTCTGGGCCTGATGGGCGTTTACCTTCACTGCTTCCCAGCTGGAATTCACCAGGTACTTCCGGAAGGGTCCAAAACCTGAAGTCAAAGAGACCCTGGTTAGCTCAGGTCAGGCTTAGTTGGGCCTCTACACCTGGGCTGCTCCCCAAATTCCCATGGGAGCTTCCTGATGCTCCCAGGGCCATGGGGGGCTCTGAGCACTCCACACACACCCCTTCTTGAAGAATGCAACCTCGCCAATCTGGGAGCATTTTCAGAGTTCTCTGTGGCAGGCAATGTGGGGGAGCCAAAAAGGAACGAGCTGCCGACCCACCCTCAAGCTAGGAAGGCTTGAGAAAGTGCACAAGTGTCCGGTGAAAATGCATGCTTTTTTAAGAGCCTAGAAACACACCTGTGTGAATATGCCCAGTTGTTTGCTAGGAGAGGTGCAAAGTCAATTCAGCAGAGGAGGGTGGCCTTTTCAACAAAAGGGGCTGGAACAACAGGATACCCAGAGGCAAAAACATGAATCCTCAACCTCAGTCTCACACCGTGGACAAAAATTAAAGTGGATCATGACCTTCAGTGAAAAAAGGAAAACCATAAAACTTTTATGGAAGAAAAAGGGAGCAAATCTTGAGACCTACCCTTAGGCAAGTTCTTGACACCAAGGGCGCACAATGATCTATGAAAGTAAATGTTAATAAACTGGACCCCACCCAAGTGAGAACTTTTGCTGCCCAAAAACGCCTCTTGAGAGAATGAAAAGAAAATTATGGACAGGAGGAGAAAAGAAAAACTCAGTTACAGACCACACATCTGATGAAGGCCTTGTATGTAGAATATATAAAGAACTCTCAAAACTCAACATTAAAAAACAACCCAATTAGAAAGCTGGCAAAATACACAAAGGGACATCTCACTGAAGAAGATCTATGTACAGACAGCAAACAAGTGTAGCAGGGGATGTCTGACATCACTCACCAGCAGGGAAACGCAAATTAAAACCACAATGAGATATTACCACACTTCTAGAAGAGCGGCTAAAATAGAAATACCGATAACCCCAAAAGCTGACAAGGATGAGGAGAAACTGGCTCATACCCATTGCTTAGTGGGAACGTAAAACGGTACTGCCACTCTGGGAAATAGTTTGCCAGATCCTTTTAAAACTGAAAGTGGACTAAAAAATTAAAAAAAATAAAAATAAAAAATAAAACTGAAAGTGGACTTCCCACCACGTGCACTCCTGGCTATTTATCCCAGAGAAATGAAGACTTGTTTTCACACAGAAACTTGTACACACATGTTCACAGCAGCTTTATTTGTAATAACCCAAAGCTGGAAACTACTCAAATGTCCTTCAAGAGGTGAACAATAAAGCAAGAATTCCAGATCATGGAATACTACTACCCAGCAGTGAAAAGAAAGAAGTAGAAAGCACACAAACGTGTCCATCAACTGATGAATGGGTCAACAAAATGTGCAATCCATACAATGGGGGATATTATTTGTCGATAAAAGGAAGTGAAGAACCAATACATGGTACAACATGGCTGAGCTTTGAAAATATTATGCTAGGTGAAAGAAGCCAGCCACAAAGGACCACATGGCGTATGGCCCCATTTATACAACATACCCAGAATTGGCAATCTAGAGAGACAGAAAATGGGTTAGTGGTTAGTAGATTTGGAGTGGGGGGCATGCTGGGGGGTGATGTGGGAAACAAAGGCAGAAGAAAAATGATTAAATTTCCTTACTACCTACAGCCCACTGACAAGTCCTTGAAACAGGCAGAGAGACATTCCTCTAGGAGCTCAGCTGCCTCAGTGTTAATACTTTGTTAAGGGCGAAAGGCGATCTCCGCCTGATCCCTAGAATCCTGTAAGTCTTTAACACATAAAAATTCCTTTGGAAACTTCATTTATCTCTACTCCCCAAGATACGTGTTGGCAGTCATCCCCCAAGCACATGGCCCACCGATATACATCTGAAGGGTCTCATGACTCGGGTTTTATTAGAGGGTAATAAATGGCCTTTTCCCAACAATAGCTAGCCCCCTCAAGGTCCTGGAAACCTTGCTTCCAAAATTCCTTAGAGAATTATGCCATCCCTAACCCTCTCCCAACTTGAAAGTATATGATGGGCCGCTCCTCCTGACCCCAGTGCAGCTCCTTCTGCCCACGGGCCCTGTCCCTGGGCTTTAATAAAACCACCTTTTTGCACCAAAGACGTCTCAAGAATTCTTTCTTGGCTGACAGCTCTGAACCCTAACATCTTTCCTACATCAGGGTGGATTAGGGAGTTATAAGTAAGGGGCTTGGGATTTCTTTTCGAGGTAATTCAAATGTTCTCAAATTGGTTGTGTGGTGAAGGCATAACTCTATGAATATACTAAAAGCCATTGAACTGTCCATTTTATTTATTTTTAGTTTTTTTTAAGATGTTATTTTTAAGTAATCTCTATACCCAACATGCAGCTCAAGCTCACAACCCCGAGATCAAGAGTCACACACTCCACTGACTGAGCCACACATGAAAACTGTCTATTTTAAGTGAATTGTATAGCATGTGAATTTTATCTCAATAAAGCTGTTAAAAAAAAAAAAAAGGAACTACTGATACATACAACAGCTTGGATGAACCTCAAAGGAAATATGCTGAGTGAAAACAAACCAATCTCAAAAGGATACATACTGCATGATGCCATTTATACAATATTTGTAAAATAACATCATTATAGAGGCGCAGAACAGCTTAATGGTGGTCAGGAGTTTGAGGTGGGGGAAGTGGCTTGTTTTCAACTCAGATATCTAGACACCCTGTGGCCCAGTCAAGGTGACACCTAAAATTAACCATCAAGAGACGGTGTAGGAGTGACCACACCCATGGGACGTCTTATTTTATCTCTCCTTCAGAGTGGCCCTTGCTCAGAGCTCCAGGGCCACCCCCCACCCCTGCCCCTGTAGGGGAGGCCAGGGGCTGCCAGGAGCTCAGGCTTTTAGAGGAGGAGCCAGTCCTAGAAAGGATGGTGCCTTTGAAGTTCTGAGCCTCTGAGTCTAGACCCGCTAACAAGCGTGGCTTACAAGGGGTCAATCTTTCTCAGGCAATACAAAATTTTGGACAGGATGTCCTGACACCAGGAAGCCAATGGTGTCCTCTTGACACTGACTGACTCCTATAGAATAAGACTGTAGCTGCCACTGGGGGCAGACAGGAAAAAAAAAAAAAAAAAAAAAACTTTAGAAAATATTGAGATTCAGAAAAAAATCACTGAGAAACCAGGTAACTTGTACTAAAATTGCAGCACCACACACACACACAAATCACATTCTGCTTTAGAATCAAATTCAGATCAAAATAGTCAGATCATCTCTTACCTGTTTTTAATTAGGAAAAACAACTCAGCAAGTACAGGTTTGAAGCTTTTGTTTTGTAGGGTCAAACCTTACACTTTAAACTTGGCAGGCCCTCGGGGTGAAATCTGCATACGGCCAGAGGAACCTTCTCGCAATCAAGGGAGGCCCTATGGAGGGATGCAGGTTTTCTCAGCCGCCCACTATTCTTATTGGTGCCCCTCGAAATGCCTTGAACCCGAGGCCGTTTGTCAGAGCCCTGTCCTCCCCCACCCCCATCAGTCTCTGTGCCAACTGTCTTGGCCAGATTTCCACGCAAATCCAATTACATGAAGAGACTACCCCTGGCAGTTCAAAGCATTTTTAATAAAGGCAGGCCACACTCTAGAAGCCAGTGGGCATTCCCAAATGGTGGCTGATGATCAGGTACTTCATCAAACAATCTAGAGTTTGCCAGCAAACCACAAGCTGACAGGCCAAGAGGCAGGGGTCCACATGAGTTGAAGATGTGCCAACTGGGCTTCAATATTCATATTTCATTTGTGACAAGCATTGCATTCATCAGGGGTACAGTTTCCTTAGCAATTCAAGAATATTTTGAACCACTCAATCTCTATACCCCAAATAACACAAACGAGAACAAGGGAGATAAAAGGTTTTCAAAAGAATTTTCTTTTCCTCAGAAGGTTAACAGGGGTTTGATTATAGCCTGAAAATATTAAGATAGTGACGTTTCGATTTTCCATGCCCATAGGAATCCTTGTCTCCTGTTTCCTTCATTTCACACAATTCAAAAAACTTAAAATATGCCAAAAGTGTCTAACTTTGTAAAGAAATCAAAGAAAGAAGGAACTTTGTAAAGAAATCAAACCCTTCTGGGACCAGCTGTGACAATGACTGGGGGTGGCAGGGGTTGATTTGGGGTGAACTGGAGAAAGGTAGGAGTGGAGATCAACAAGTAGGAGATCAACACTCCCAAGTTGATCTTTTGGGGTTCAGGGTCTCCAATTGGAGGCTCTCCGGTGGTGTTCAGGGCTTCCTGAGCGGCTGAAAGCTCTTCAGTCCGCCTGCTGGGGGCTGTCTTCTCCTTTGGGGGTAGTTCTTGTAGGTGGACCGTTGTCCAAGCCTTACAAGGCCCCATCCTTTCTGGATCCCCAGCTGCCCCTGCCTTGCTATGGAGCTGTACCCCAGGGGATGCCACATGGACCCACTGGGCCCCAGACTCAGGGACAGCAGGTGCCAGCCTCGGATTCCTCCCCAGTTGGGCGGAAGGACAAGGTCTGAATCTGAATTGAAGGAGAGGTAGGTACCTTTGAATTGAAGGAGAGGACCAGAGCGGAAAAGCCTCTCTGTCAGCTGTTTTTCAGTAGGGCATGGCAAGAAGCGAGAAGCAAGCTTCCATCTGGAATTATTGGCACTACCAGTTGCCACTCCTTTTTTCCCCAAGAGGGAACCCTTTATGAGCAGATCAGGCAAGTGCACATTCCACGGTCAGGCTAAAAGCGCAAATGCGAAAGCAGAAAAATAGTCTTACCAGTCACCACCACGCAGCTGGGCTGGGAATCCATGAAACCCAAGCAGGGAGCGTGTATCTGTGCCTCTGGGGGTCAGATGGCCGTGGCTCCGCCCAGGGCACCGGGCACTTGGACCACTGGGCGCCGTCCCCCCACCCCCCATCCTAGGCGGCGGCTGACAGCCTCAGGCTCCTCTCCGGGGTGCCCAGCCTTGTCTGGCCCGGAGGCCCCGCCCCCCCACGAAAGGCTGAAGACTCCGGGGTGGGGGTAGGGCGGTAAGATGATGCCCCTTGAAAGCGGAAATAGCCAGTCCGGGGCTCAGAGGCTTTGGGCAACAGACAGAGGGTCGGAACACCATCGGGGACTTTCTGGACCCTTGGGGTCGGGGTTAGGTTGTTGCTGGGTATGGGTCAAAGGTGAGCCGTGAGTTTGATGATCAACTGTCCCTGTTTGCCTGGGACTGAGGGGTTTCGATTGGGACGCGGGGCGGGGGGGGAGCGGGTACTAAAATGTGCTGTAACCCATAGAATCCCAGGCAAATCAGGTTGGTGGGTGCCCCTATAATCTGTTTGTTTGGATTTTGTTTCCTCTCTTTAGTAATCTTCCTCCTTCTCTCCGCCTGGAGCCCCTCATTGTGTTTGGCTATGATGACTTCGTGAAATTTGGTTGCTCTTGAAACTGATTCTCAAAATATGTAAAAAAAGAAAGAAAGAAAGAAAGAAACCAAAACCACAGATGAAGCTTATGGTAAAAAATGCTAGTTGAAAGCACCTGTCACCTATAAGCTGTGGGTGCTCAGACAAGTTCACCTCTCTGTGCCCTGTCTCCCCTTTCTGTGAAATGGAGGGGATCACAGCACCCCCTTCCTGAATGGAGCCCTCCTGAGCCTGGGGGACATTGTCCTCAGCCCCTACAGCCCTGGGGGGGGGGGAGGCTCACCCGGCCAGCAAAATCTACTTTTTTTGTGTGTGTGTGGCTTCTCAGACTGTGCCCTCCCCCACACCACATCCTGCCTGCCATGAGCGCTTAATGCTGCGCTGGACCACGCACCACTAAATGTTAGCCACTGCCCCATGGTGGACTTCCACCTGGCTCTGTAGACATTCCTCCGCCTTCTTAATTGTGGCAGAGTAACTAAAGCTAACATTTGGGGCTAGTTTCTCTATCGAAGAAGCCATATTGTGCAACATCTTGACCTTTCAGAATATATTATATATATATATATATAGTTTTATAGATACAGTTTTTATGTAGTTTCATATATAAAAGTTTTATATAGTTTTTATATTTAAACTTTTATATAACTTTTATACATAAAAGTTTTATATACATATATATGTATATATATACACATATATAACTTTAATGTATAAAAGTTATATGTGTATATAGTTTTTTAGCTAAAAATACTTTTTTTTTTTAGAAAGCTAATAGGAGGTGGGGAGCCTGGATGGCTCAGTTTGTTAAGCTTTTGACTCTTCTCTTTTTATTAATTTATTTGAGAGAGAGAGAGAGAGAGAGAGAGAGCGCGCATAAGCAGGGGGAGGGGGAGAGGGAGAGGGAGAAGCAAACTCCCCGCTGAGCTGGGAGCCCGATGGGGGCTCTATTCCAGGACCTCAGGATCATCACCTGAGCCAAAGGCAGACTGAGCCACCCAGGCACCCCTAAGCATCCGACTCTAGAATTCGGCTCAGGTCATGATCTCAGGGTCCTGGGATCGAGCCCCGTGTGGGACTCCCCACTCAGCGGGGGAGTCTGCTTGAGATTCTCTCTCTCCCTCTCTCTCTACCCCTCCTCCTGCTCTCGCTCTCTCTCTCAAATAAGTAAATAAAATCTTTTAAAAAAAGAAGAAACCTGTCTAATAAGACGCACAAAAAAACATTCTCTTTCCCCATCTGGGGATGGCCATGAGAAGCTCTAGCCCAGGGAGACTGACAGAGCTCCTCCAGGGTCCCAGTGTTTCCCCAAGTTCAGAGTGCCTTGTATTAGAGGGTGTGGCCATGTGGTTCTGTCTTCTTAATTGGCCCCCTGATAGAAAAAAACTATACCACTCCCTTTAATTGGGATCACTGCCAAGGACTAGACTCCACCTGATGCCTTCCTGGGACACTGAACCAACAGCCATTCCTTTTAATTGGCCCCTGGTGTGGGCTGCAGGCTTATTTACAGCGGACAGCAGGTGGGAAGTGGCATTTGCCCCCAGTGACCTTCCCCTGCCTGCTCTGGGAGGCTGGGGCCACCTTGTTTTTGCAGGGATGCAGAGGGTATTGCATTACACCTTATTTTGAGATTAAAGTAGACAATACAGAAATCCAAGTTTGAAAGCAATTACCTAGTTTTTCTCACACTCCCTCAGGCATTGTGGGTGTTATATCAACTCCCCACTTTGGTGAGTGGCTCCCCTGGTTCAAGTTCATGTCACTTACTTAGCCCTTCTGTCCAGAGGGTTTTGCTTGCCCATCACAGTCATAAACAAATTAGGCCACTGGAAATGCCGGCATTTGTCGAGTTGGTTGCTGCTCCCATCAGACCCTGCTATCCACACTAGTGAGATCTGGGGAACTAACTTGTGTTTACTCATCACACCTGGAAACGTATCACACCTGGAAACAGACTTAACTGTTCAGACTGCCAGTTGTTAACAACGCTACTTTTCTGATAACGACACCGCAATTTCTGTTTTTAGTTTCTTCAGGGTTTGACGTAAGCCATGCTTCTTTTAACTTAAACTAGAATGTGTCCTGGAATTTTCACTTGCCCATAATTCACTTATTTTTCTTTGGTCATAAACTTTTCCCTAATTTTTCAATTAATAAAAGAGAAAGGGAGAGATGTAAAATATTTTTACTTAGCAACAGTGACATGTGTCTCTGATTGTATCCAACCCCACCTGGAAAAAAAAAACCCACACATTCTCATTCTCTAAAATGAAAACAACTCAGAGAAGTATGGATTTTGAGGTCTGACATCTGCACTTTTATTTCTTTTTCCATTGTGAAAACAAATGGTCTCTAACAATTGCTGATGTCAAACACAATCTTTAGGTCCGTGAAACACAGTAAGCCTGAGAATGAATAAGGCAGCTAAAGAGAGATGTTTTATTTAACAAAAAAGCACAGCGATCTTCCTTCTGAGTTAGATTCCCGAGAGGAAAATATTTGTAATCATGTTTGACTCTGGGATTAAGAGGGCAAGGTGCGACCCTCCCTCAGTGAACTGAAAAGCAAGCAACAGTACATACGGGTTCTCACCAGGGACGACAAATGCGGGCTGCCAAGATTATAATATCCCAAGACCTAAATATTTCGAGTTTTGAACCAAACATAAAACTTTGTGGGATTTGTTTTAAATTTCTCATTGGCAAGTTGTGACTTCCTGCTTAAGCAAGAAAAAGGATTAAAACGGTTTATTTGTCTCTGACATGAACAGCTCTTACAACACATTTTGTACACTTGATATAAATGAAATTTAATCAACCTGGTCAAATTCCTCTTGGGAGGTGGGGAGAATAAATCAGTCATCAAGACGCACTTGCAATTAAATAATAATAATAGTAATACGTCTCCTCTATGTCAAACATCTCTGCTTCCAGCTCAGCTACTTATGTCTACCATAAAATATAAAACTCACACCCAAACTGCCTCTTGTCAAAGCATTGACTGAATCTCGAAAAATGTCACTCTTCCAAGGTAGCCTTTGGGACTCCCTCAACCCCATTCTTTTGCTTTTTCCAGCTTAACTGTTCAAAAGGGGCCAAAACACAGTCTCTGTAAAGAGCTTCAAGTAACCATTGTGGGCCACAGGGTCTCTGTTGCAACTGTTCAAATCCGCCCTTGTAGCTTTCAACGTACTGTGGATAATATGCAAACGAGGGGGCGTGGCTGCGTTCCAATAAGTATGAATTTTGAGTACATATAATGCCCACGTGTCACAAACCATTACTCCTCTTTTGATTTCTTAAACTATTTACAAATGTAAAAACTATTTTTAGCTCACAGGCTGTACAAAACATAGGCGGAGGGCTGATTTGGGGCGTCGGCTGTAATTTGCCAGACCCTGCGCTAGAATACAATGTTTCTTCGTAGGAAGCAGGATATGTTGATGATAAAGTGACCTTATGGGATACGGGAACACATTTGTAGTTAAATGAGTGACGAGACTTGGTTAAAATCAAAATGAGGATTGAGCAATTCAGAATATTCCATATTCCATCACCCCCCCCACCCCGCCTTTTTTCTGCTTTCCCTTCTTTGTTAAGTTGGCCCGGTGTTGTTACAGGATTTTGTGTCCGCTTACTGCCCGTGGTTCTTAGTCATGCCGCTTTGAAGAATGAAGAGGTAGACCAGACGAAGAGTGGTGGACAGCAAAGCAAAGTTTATTGAGCAAGAGTATAAAGCTCCCGGAGAGGGATGGGGTACCCGAATGGGTTGCGCCCCCCCACCCCGTTCTAAGTTAGGGGTTTTTATGAGCTCTTTTGCAGAACTGTCTTACACAATCACAGTGTGCTGTGTCGTGCCAATCAGGGCTTTGGTCATGTATCTGTCTACCTATTAGGTTAATGTCCAGGTGCTGATGGTCTTTTTTTTTTTTTTTTCCTGACATCTGGGGGCTTAGGACTTAACTGTCCCTTGCCCCTGATATTGACAAGTGCTTTTGTGGTTACTGTCTTATTTTAGGACATTTTGCAGAAGTCATTTCTGCAAAGGCTGCAAAGCAGAATGTCAGTGTGGTCCTGTCTAAGCTGCAAAACAGGATGTCAGTGCTATTTTATTTTAGCAGTCCTGACTCCTTATTTTCTTGTTGGGGACCCTGGCCCTGACTACCTAACTACCCAACTGTCCAACTAATTCCTAACACTTAAATTCGAAGAGCATTCGGAATGAATGTGGCAAACAGTTTTGTGCTCAAAATTACAGTATTTATGGTTTTTACTAATATGGCATTGTTCACTGAAGCAGTTAGCAATAGATTTTTTTTTCTTGCCAGTTGACGTGCTATTGCTGGATTCCTAGGTGAGATTTGGCTCCAACACCCATGTAAGGAAGGACCCTAAAGCTGTATTTCACCTTTTTGCAGGTTTCTGACACCACATATGCATGTTTTTAACTTCCCTACTAAAGAATAGCTTTCAAATGCTCACGGCACTTGCTTATTTAAAAATGGAAAATTTTAGGGGCACCTGGGTGGCTCAGTTGGTTAAGTGTCTGCTT